CTCTTATTGATATCGATATTTCTCTATACACGGTATTCTATAGTAACGAGGCCTCGGGAGTTGCAGGCGCTGGGGGTGGGGACCCCAAACACCAAGCTATGTAACTCCCGAGGAGGAAGATGACTCAGAAATGGTCTCGAGATATCGTGGTAGCACTGCGAGGGTACTGAGGGCAACATGTACTGCCTTCCGGTCGTGCTAAGAATTAAACAAAGCGATGGAGGGACTCTGATTGCGTTCAAGACCCTTTGTATATGCTGATGGTGAACACCGTGGGGTTTTAAGTTAGATGTCTGTAAATTTTTCACTGACCTCGCAGTGGTATATATCTATGGGGACTTCCCCACGATAAAAAAGGACTCCATTTCTGTTTAGAGGACCGTCTGGGTAGGAAGGCACCGCCTTACCTATTTCTGTCGCCATATAGCTGTCGCACTCAACTAGCTTAATTAACCGTTCAATTAACAGCGCCGTTCAACTAGCGGCCTGAATGATACTCAACCATTTGATCAAACAGCTACGCAAATGATTTGGATCGATAACGTTTAATTACTAGTCTATTCATTTCAACTTAGTTCCACTTTCTGCCACCTAGCGGTGAAACTCTCCAAACTGTCAACATGACGTCGGGAAACAACAAATTTAATGGTGTTTTCCAAAGTTTAATGAAAAATAATACAAGCTGTCGCATCCAACTAGATTAATTAGCCGTTCAGTTTTTTAGCCTTTCAAAAAATTTCTTAGCCTGTTTATGTTAAACTAGGGGCCTGAATGATATTTAGCCGCTGCGTCTAATACAGCATTGCAACTATCTTATAATATCAGCGACAGTAGGTTAGGGTGCGACCGGTGTGGCCCTTGGGCCACCCCAAAGCCGCGTATATTTATATTACATAACGCATAGTGCATAATTAGGCATGAAATGTTGTATTAGAAGCATCGGCTGAAACGCATGGGTTGAATATCATTTAGGCAGCTAGTTGAATGGCGCTGTTTCACCCTATTGTACGAATGTCCTAAGTATTAGCCAGCCAGTTGTTATTAAATGTTGTAACAAACTCTACTGCTGAATATCATATAGGCAGTTAGTTGAACGGCGCTGTTTCACCCTATTGTACAAATGCCCTAGGTATTAGCCAGCCAGTTGTTATTAAATGTTGTAACAAACTCTACGGCTGAATGTCATTTAGGCAGCTAGTTGAACGGCGCTGTTTCACCCTATTGTACGAATGCCCTAAGTATTAGCCAGCCAGTTGTTATTAAATGTTGTAACAAACTCTACGGCTGAACATCATTTAGGCAGCTAGTTGCTGAATATCATTTAGGCAGCTAGTTGAACGGCGCTGTTTCACCCTATTGTACGAATGCCCTAAGTATTAGCCAGCCAGTTGTTATTAAATGTTGTAACAAACTCTACGGCTGAATATCATTTAGGCAGCTAGTTGAACGGCGCTGTTTCACCCTATTGTACGAATGCCCTAAGTATTAGCCAGCCAGTTGTTATTTAATGTTGTAACAAACTGTACGGCTGAATATCATTTAGGCAGCTAGTTGAACGGCGCTGTTTAGTTGAAAGGCTAGGCTGTTAACTGAAAGGCTTATTAAGCTAGTTGGCTGCATTGACTTATATATTACTGGCGTAAGGACCGGGCCGACCGAACAACTAAAACGGACCAGTGCGCTGGCCCTAAAATTACAGTTTAGGGCCAACGCGAATCGGTCGACAGTGGTGCGCGCGTAGGACAGATTTGCCTGTCATAAATATGTCTAGTTGCGTGGTAAAAGAATGCAAAAATTACGATACAAAGATTTAAAAAAATATGGGATATCGTATCATCGGTAAATAATCTTATATTAATTTTGTTACAAATAAATTATTATATAAACGCATTTTTAAAGTTTTATTTTACAATTAGTTTAGTTACGTTCTCAAGATTAGGTCAGGGTTGGATTCAGACCCTCAAAAATATTGTATTTGGAAAATAAAAATATACTATTTAAAAAAATTATATCATGTTTGACGTTTCATGTTTCTTTTTTTCCATGTGCCGGGGTTTTGGCGTCACGCGTCTAGTTTAGCTATAGTTTTCGTTTTTTGACGGTTTCATTTTTATTTCTGTTTACTTTTTAAAGAACTTATTGTAAGTTAAATTTTGAATATTGGTACCCAATATATTTTTTATTCAATAAGGGTAAAACAAAAAAAGTACCAAAGAAACCATATCTGCTTAATTGGATCTGAAAATCTGATTCATAAAATATTTTGAAATTCTGTTTTCAAATCGATTGCTTCTGGACCATAAAGTTTTTATCGTGGTAGCCCCTCATTATAGTTGTATCAAGGATGCAACATAAATGCATCGATCGAACATCGATTGACCAGAAAGGGAGCTAATTCTAATTTTATTAAAAAATCGCGGTACTCATGTACAATATAGAAATTCTCGATATCGTAGGGTTAATATTAAAATGTAAAAGGACCCAATAATAATACAAGTCGACCTATAGGTAAAATAATTGTATTTTCGCTTAGTATTATTACAATACTATATACTACAAACTATGAAATAATGGTACAATTAGGATAATTATACTACGAAATCCGACCCTGGTTACGTCGTGTTTTGATATGACGTTTGTATTATGACAGATGCGTTACTTTTTCTTGTATGAAAAAGTTATGAGTAAAATATTTAGATGGGCCTATCCTTCCTTTTAAAATCATTGGTTGGCTGCGACATAGCAATCCTTGCACTGCTGCGTTCCATTGTTAAGTGTGTAGAGAGCCTGTATCATTACAGGATGAGGTATTTCATCTTCAGGTGTCCGTAGCTGTAGTAGCCACCATCAAGTAAACTATAAGTTGGTTGGTCACATCAGTTTTATAATTAAAAAAAATAAACAGACCGGCAACAAGAAGCATTAGGGTTGTGAGACGTTTGCGTTATTGCCAATCTACTTTGTCAAGAGTTGTAATTATGGTTAAGCCTCCTTTTAGCTGGGGAGGGTCAAGCTCAGCTGTGAAGTTTTTCAGCCTGATCAAAGTATAATTTTGCTATGAAAGGAATAAATAAATATTTGTCAACAAATATTACTAGAAAACTTACGTTGTTGAGCCCGAGGCCTCGGACCTCCATTATCCTCGAAAAAAATATTAAATGTTTTTCAGATTCATATTTTATAGGGATATTTTTTTGCCAGAATTCATAGCCTCACGCCACAGTCAGCTTTCAATGAAAATAAAAATTAATTATTCAATATAATACCTTAATATATAGCAGTCGTCTAGGTGGTCTACCACATATATTTCACCCCCCTACCCCCTAATATAGTGGAATACTATATTATATAGAGGGCAATCTTATCTAAATCCGACCCTGGCAGTAACTGAACTTCTCGTCGTATGTATACAGCCAGTACATTTGCTACCGGGGTTTTTTTTAATATATCTTATTTATTCGACACACTTGGACGAATGTACTGGACAGTAGAGTATGGGTTTGAATCCCAGTAAAATATGTGTAGTAAAAACTTTAGTGTCATTTAAAGTGAAAATACATTGCAAAAGGTAATCTATATATGGGTACTAGCTTGCCAGGCAGACTTTGTTCTGCCCTTTTCGGCGAACCTTTGTCATGTCCTATTAATCTTCGAAAAAATTGTGGGTCACTCATGGGCAAAAACACTATCCTATCTCTCAAGTTAGACTAAACTGCACACGGTGTGCATTTAGGAGTACATCGCGGACAAACAACGTGACACGTAATTTATATATATTAAGATTAACTTGCTCACTCAACCCGAGATCTCCAAAACTATATGCTCGATTGACTTGAAATTTGGTATATATACTCCTTTCTGGACGCAGACATCCACTAAAATAGGATTTTGAAAAATTCATCCCCTGAGGGGGTGAAATAGGGTGTTACAACTTGTCATTTATGTGGATAAATTGTCTATTTATTTAATTTCGTTACGACCTACCTACGATTACCTACGAGTTCTATCCCTGTAGTGGTGGTAGTGGTGGTGTAGCAAAGAAGCGAGTTATGACCTCCAGGCGGCAGATTAAAGGGGATGCCATTTCGGGAAAGAAAAGTCAGTTCACAGGCTTTAACTATTTAATTAATGCAACTTAAAATTTGAACCAACAGTATATGACGCTACTTTGTCTCTGCTTAATAAGTATAAAAAATCTCTACCTATAAACAGCCTCCTCGCCTTTGTGCTAACGGGTTTAGATGTCTTTGTTTGAAATATTTCTAGTCCTCGGACGTGGTCCTTACGAAGTTTACCTTGGCCGCCGATCACGTGGTAAGTTAGCACTTAAACTTGCATTAATATATTTGTTGCTGTCGGCGGGGATCAAACTCTTGGCTTGGGTAAAAAATATCGATATATAGGACCGTCGTTATTTTTAAATCGCGATATTTTGTTATTCGATATTTATTTTATAGTATCGAATTCCTATGAATTTATATATATTTTAAAATGTTGTATTAACCGAGCAATTAAAAAAATTAATCTTATTGGCAATTTATTTTTCTGACACTGTTGCATAATTAATTAATCATCAAATCAACTGAGTAATGTTAAAAATTTTGTGTTGTTAAAAATTCGATAAGTATTGTTGTATTAGTTACGAGAGACAACCATATTCTTGCAAATAAAGATTATTATTATTATTATATCAAAGCATTCACGTGCTGTTGTCGTATTTTTTGTCGTTCAACCGCCCAGTAATAACATTTTTGGACCCTATTCTACTAAATAATGCAAAAAATAACGATATATCGATATATATATTACGCGATATATATCGATACTGATTAAATATCGACATATATTTTTCACTTGCCCATCCCTACTCCGGTTAGTTTCGTACTGTTTTTATGGCGAGGGCTTAGCTTTTAAGCTATTAAGGGTTTCAAATCAACATAACATATTTATATATTAACATAATATAACATAATGTTAATGTTAACCTCTTTTGTTTGCAGGTGATGATGTATCTTGTGCTGGTACTCTGTGTGGGCAGGGCGCTGTCCATGATGGTGCCTCTGCTCGACGACATAGAGCCAAGGGTGGGCGAGACGTGCGGATATGATGTGAGTATTTTCTGATCGTATTTTCTTTTCTAATATACACCAGAGAGAGAAATAATATCCTCCGGATCGAATTTCGGCCACTGTGGCCAGTCTACGAAAAACCGTATGAAACAGCAGCATTAAGCTGCTATTTTACACTGGTATTTTTAGAGGTGGTCCCTCCCCGGTCGAGTCGACCCATTCTTGAACCAAAAATAATTTTCCTCTTTATAGAATAAGGATAACGAACGAGAACACAGTCCACCTGATGGTAAGTGGAAGCTGTGGCCCATAGACATTTACATCTATCCTCGGTTACGAATCAAAATGCAGATGCGTTGTCACCCCTGAGGACTATGGAATGCCTCGTTTCCAGTAAAAAAGAGTCTCCGGGTCTCTACACTCACAATACTAAACATAGCAGCGGTAAGCTGCTATTTCACGCTGGTATTCTCTGAGAGCGTGGTCCTACTCCGGACGAGCCGACCCATTCGTGCTACAACCATAATATAGCTGCAGCGTAGCTCTACCACGTATAAATTATTACTTAATTTCACGTAGTTATACAGTTCGATGCTCGATGTATGGTATCGAAGTTTTGAAATAACATCCCACCACCAATAACACATCTTAATATCAATTACAATTTTAATAATTTTAACTTTTAGAGCAAGAAGTTATAACCAATTTCAAATTGCTAAAAAAGAAGCTATTTATTTGCAACCCTTAGGTTCTCTATTAAATAAATAAAGAATTATTAAAATCGAGCATAGACGTAGATGTCTATGGGGCACAGCAATCACTTACCAACAGGTGGACTGGACTGTGTGCTTCGTAGACAGAGAAACATATAGACTAATGATCGGCGTGGCCTCGAGTGAGAAAGAACGATAACAAATTTTTAGGTTATAGAATAATCTTTGTGACTTTTAAATACATTTAGATAAAAATTTTAATTGTTCTAAGAACTGAACTGAACAAGATTCACCAATCTCAAGCTCACAAAACACTTTTTTCTCACTTAAACCAACTTGTAAACTCCTTAAATCGCTACGCTGTTAAAGTTGTTTAGCAAACTGTAGAGTTTGCTAAACAAAAAGCTAGTGTTGATGATATATTGAGGTAAGAAGTTTGGATCAGTGGTCAATTTCGAATGACAGACAAAAGATATCTTTTATACCCAATCTTGAAAGTCCTATTGACTTATTTCCCTAACATTAAAAATTAAATACAAAAATGTACAAAAACCACGAACGTCAGGTGCGTTATGCACTTAGCGTGTGTTAGGCTTTCCATCTTTTTTTGAATAATTATAGTATTTTCCCCAAAATCAAATGCAGAAATGTAGTACTTTTGGGAAATTCAGGAAAAAAGTACTTAAAAATTTATTTTTAAACTTTATGTATTTTCCATATATATTTGTTACTGTCATCAATGATCTAACCACCTTACCATTAAAAAAAATTACGAGTACAGGAGTCTGAGCAATTTCGATTCGATAAATTAACAATAATTTTTAATTAAATTGAAACATGCAAATTTTCTTTCTTCTTTCAATTTTACATTCATGATGGAAAAAATCTTTCCGTAAAACTTATTTGTTCCAGACTTCCTACCACAGTTTATATAAAAAAGCGCGACAGTTGAATTAGAGATAAAAATATAGTACTTTCCGTACTATATTAATTTTCTATAATATATAGCACAATTGACTGAAATATAGTACGATATCTTATATATACTATATATTATAGTACGGGTGGCAATCCGAATTGGAGCTGAACTGCCTTAATCCTATACCTTTAAACGATCAATTCTTGTATATATAATCGGAATCTCGGAAACGGCTCCAACGATTTTCATAAAATTTTGTGTGCAGGGAGTTTCGGGGGCAATAAATCGATCTAGCTAGGATTTATTTTTAGAAAATGTCTTTTTGTCCGTGTTTTTAGGCAATGAAAAACTGCTACAATATCGTTAGAACACGAAAATTTAAATTAAACTAATTGCGCTCATGATTTTTTATTCAAATAACCAGTTCAGTTTTTTCTATTCTGTCAATAAGATCAAAAAATATTATTCGTATTTCATCAGTATGTAATTTGTATCTAAATATAATTTCCAAACCACACGAATTAAAAAAAACCGAGCGAAAAATACCGAGCAAAGCTCGGTCAACCGGGAACGTACCTTTTCCTAACTAGGAGGTTACCTAACTAGGGTTGAACATAACTGTTCGAATACTAAACTTAAATGTATGTATGTTAAGTAAATAACTGACTACATTTTAATTGATAGCCTGAGACTTTGTTGGATTTGTTTTTATATTCTGTAAAAGGATGAGATGATAAGGATAGAGAACATCCAAAAATAGTCCTTAGACTCTGTCTATATGCATGTTATGGATCAAGTGATACTCGACTCCACCGAGTCAGTAATTCGTTCTTGGGGCGATGTATACCCTTAATTGCAAGAAAATCCTAGAAAATATACAAAATTTGACCTGCACAAAGTTCAAAAACTTTATTAAACTAAGTTTATATAAAAAGGGTTCCTATTACAATATTAAGGAATTTCTAACTTGTTTTGTGTTGTTAATTGTAAGCTGTTATTTGTTTCAAAAACCGGCCAAGAGCGTGTCGGGCCACGCTCAGTGTAGGGTTCCGTAGTTTCCCGTCCGTCACAATAAGTGTTCCGACTTATGAGTTAAAAGGTGGGTATCCATTATGTTCGTGCTCCAGCAGCGCTCCCCGCTCCTGCAACTGCTCCCGGTAGTGGGTACGTGTGCGAACATGGAGCGTGCAACATTGCACGCTCCGCGGCAGGCGCTCCGACTTTCCATCCAAGTTCAAAATGATTTTCCTAGTAAGTCCATATAAAGTTCTACTTTTCACATTTTTTTCATATTTTCTAAACTTATGGATCAAAAGTTAGAGGGGGGGGGGGACACATTGTTTTTTACTTTTGGAGCGATTATTTCCGAAATTATTGACATTATCAAAAAATGATTTTAGTAAACCCCTATTCATTTTTAAATACCTTTCCAACAATATATCACACGTTAGGGTTGAAATTAAAAAAAAAATCACTTCCCACTTTACATATAGGGGGGCTACCCTAATAAAACATTTTTTTCCTATTTTTATTTTACCACTTTGTCGGCGTGATCGATACACATATTGGTACCAAATTTCAGCTTTCTAGTGCTAACGGTCACAGAGATTAAGCGAGGACGGACAGACGGACAGACAGACATGGCGAAACTATAAGGGTTCCTAGTTGACTACGGAACCCTAAAAATAGTCCCGCTGGTTCTTCCCAGGACAGAGGCTTTTTTTGCGAACCAGTGGTAAATGAAAAAAGTGACTTTCATAAGTATTATTGATAATTTATATTAAATAAAAAAGTTTCTGTTTCTGATTAATCGGGACACTACTTATAATGCCAAGGCAATATGAATAATGACAAGTCAAATCGGTCAACGTAATTAATATTGATTTATATTTCATTATTTATTACATTGTCTTTGTCTGATCATAACCTAACCTAAACTGCCTTTTTATTTTTCTGCCCGATATGTAAAGCACGTTATTCGTAAAGCTCGGTCAATTTAATGAGGGTTAATAATCTTCATCACCAGATGTCGCTAGTTGACACTGAGATTTGGTAAACTATTTACTAATCTGTGCTGAGATTAAGTTTATTTTTACACAATGTCATTTTATTGATAATTTAGTTTTAAATATGAGTTTATCGGTTTCTAGGGTATTATATTAATACACAAAACAATGCATCAGTGGTTTGTTTCTTAACTTTTTGCACATTTAAAACATTTTTTTAATTTTTTTTGTTTTTATTTATATCTGTGGTTTGGTTTATTTATTAATAATCTAATTAATATAAAATATATCTAATGGTACATAATGAAACATTAACCATTTTTCGAAAAAATTAACTTCCCCACTAAAAAATCTGTCAAAAATTACACCTCATTTTTAGAGGCTCCATCTGGTGGCACAAAAAGTCATGGACGCCATCATCGACTCATTGCTTCAATAGCAATAGTTTTATCGTATTGCCTGCTCATGTTGAGCATTTTTCAAATTGTGTTTCATTACACATTATAAATAATAACCTATTAATTACTTGGTCAATAACACATACATAATCCGTTTTTGATCAGATTTTGAGTTAGATTTTTTTCGTATTTGTTCCCATTGTAAGTTCGAATAAAAGTCCAAAAATAAAATGAAATTTAAAGTTACAGCCTATATTATATGTTCACTGCTGAGCACAGGCCTCCTCTTATTTTTGAGAGGGTTTTAGGGAAAGGAAATGTCCGCCGCCCCATTGCGTGTTGTCGAACTTTACATGTCTTCGAATAATTTTTATTTCTTATTTCTCAGACATGCAGGTTTTCTCACAATGTTTTCCTTACAGGCAAGCACGTGGTAAACCAGCACTTAAAATTGCAATTAACAATTTCATTGGTGCCGGCGGGGATCGAACTTGGAATGCTCACGTACTGTGAAATTTACAGCGAGCGCTTAGCCCCTGAGCTACCAGGGCTTTAACACTAAAATTACGGAATTGATTTTGGTGAAAGAATTCCATTAAAGAGCTGTAGATATCTTTATTTATGTCCGTTGTTTGCCGACTTAATTGATACGTTATCATAATAGTCTAATGAACGTAAACACCAGTTCAAATGTTATCACCGCAGCTTGGCATCGTTGGCAAGGTTCCTGCTTCACTTGCTTTAAAAGCAAAACTTAAAACTATTTACTTTGACATAAGTATTTACATTCTGTCTTTCCGTCCGATTACAGAAATACAGACTTTTATTCAATAATAATATAATATAATGTAAATAATGTTTCTTTTATTCAACCCTTTTACTGCAATCTGTTGAACGATATAGTAGCGCATAAAATACGAATAAACTAATTTTTTTATATATCAATGATAGACATTTATTCCAACAATTACACCTGCACAAATGACACGTTAAAATTAAAGAAAAAGAAAATACTTATTAACAAAAAAGCAAATAGAACAAGTGGTAAAATTAAAAATGTTGTACAACCGACTTCAATATAAATAAAATGAGAACATCATCAATGTAGTCGAAGTCAATTAAATACGCATTGGCTGGCCAGATCTTGATCAAATTTATACCACACGAGAAACCAGCTTTCAAGAAATAAAGAGTCATCAAAATCGGTTCACCTAGAAAAAAATTCTGAGGTAACATTCACATTAAAAAAATACGGTCGAATTGAGACCTGCTTTTTCTGAAATTAGTTGAAAAGTGTTTTTGACATGCGCTTTGAGTTTATGCAAATGTAAATCAGTATTATATGTCTACCCAAAAATGATCTGCGAGTTTTATGGAATCACTTTCGAACAGAAACTTTAGATTTAGGCATTCCATCTTAGTCCTCAGTGTTGACAACGCATCTGCATTTTTATTCTTAATTGAGGATAAATGTGGATGTCTATGGTTCACAGTATCCACTTACCAGACTGTGTGCCCATTTGTCACCTTATTCTTTAAAAATAAATATTACAACTTTCGTTCTCTTTCTAGAGCTGCACTCAAGCGGAGGCTGGTCTGCTGAACGTTCACATCGTCCCCCACACCCATGACGACGTCGGTTGGCTGAAGACTGTCGACCAGTACTACTATGGAAGTGAGTCTTTGTGATATATCATTACCATATCAGCCTATCAAAAGTTCACAGCTGAATAGCCCACAGTTGCTACGTTCTGCGAGCGCATTGGCAACCACAGTTTTTTTTTACTCAGCTGTGTTCAGAAGGATACTCATCCCTGGTACAGATAACTTCCGTCGTCTCTTACGACACCTAGGGGCTGTTTTTTTTTTGGACCGGAGCGAGCGAAGCGAGCGGACCTTTCATGGCGCAAGAAAACGAGTGTTTGAATCTCTCTCTTCCGTAACCCGTAGGCCAATTTACATAATTCTTTCAGCAATATTTGTAGCTCAACGCAGACAAGGTTTGTAAACAATAAAAATCTTAATTTGTCTAAAAGATATTAAAAAAAATAACCAAATTGTCTATGAGACAATACATGTAAAGCAAAAGCGCGCGCTTTTGTAATTTATTACAACTATTTGTATTTAAAACAATTGTAACGTGATTGAATCTTTTGTTGAAATATAATACTAAAAGTAGATAGTTATGACTTTAGACTTTTACTCCGCTCCTTTTGTTTTACCTTTGCATCTGCTTCGGCACTATTTATAGAATAAGGGTGACAAACGAGCACACAGTCCACCTAATGGTACGTGGATGCTGTGGCACATATACATCTACATTTATCCTCGATTAAGAATCAAAACGCAGTGGGCGACCCCATATCGTACGAGGCGATAAACGGAAGCTAAAAGAGGAGATGCTGCATATTCCTGAATGGCAAAATAATAAAAAAATTGCGGTTGCCAACCCACTTGCCAAGCAGCATATTATTTCCTTATAAGGGGAGGGCTTAAGTCTAGCAGTTGATAAATGTACGGTAACAGAACAGGTAGAGCCATGCTGCAGCTATATTAATTGTATAGTTGTAACACGCATGGGTCGGCTCGATCGGGGAAGGACCACCCTCTCACAGAATACCAGCGTAAAATAGCAGCTTAATGCTGCCGTGTTTCGTATGGTGAGTGTAGAGAACCGGAGACCCTTTTTACTGGAAAAGAGGCATTCCATCTTAGTCCTCAAAGCTGACAACGCATCTGCATTTTCATTCGCAAACAAGGATAGATGTAGATGTCTATGGGCCACAGCAACCATTTACCATCAGGTGTACTGTGTGCTCGTTTGTCACCCTTTTCCTATATAAATACAAATTTTCCTATATTATACAAAGAACCTTACTGAAACAACATGCTCTATTAAAATACAATCCCTCACTCTCCCGAGGGAAAAGGCGTTTTAACCCCGTGGACCGCACTCATATAACTCTATCCACCAAACTATCGAAACGTTTCTTTTGTCACCTCGGAGGTTTTCTATACAATAAAATCAATAAAATTATCTCTATATTTAACGTCAATAAGACTACATGCAAAAATAAAATAACTATCTGGCTACAAGAATTAAATTATGATAACACTGAAAAGCCACTCACTAATCCTAACTAATTACTATCCGTACTAAAGTTAAATACTAACCCAATCCTAAATTTAATTTCTATCCCAGTTACTACTACACTACTAACAAACAAAAGCACGCACACACACACACACACACACGACACACACACACACACACACACACACACACACACAGACTAATACTAGCACCAGATTTAAATATATATTAAATACTAGTTAAGTAAAAGAAGGTACATTATGTAAATTACAAATATGGTACATGTACATGGTAAAAGTATTGTAATTACAACCATAGGGCGGAGACCTGGTGGCCTGAAATACAGGCGTAAATCCTAGCTTAGGCACCAGTCTCCCACAGTATAACATTAAGGTGTAATATTCTAATATTATGTACAATAATTCTGTAATATTGTGGTGAGAAAATAAATAATTTATTATTATTATTATTATAAAAAAAAAACAGAAACCTGACAAATATGAGTGAGATACAATAAACAAAAGTTGGTCTTGTCTCTAGTCCATACGGACCTTTACAGTAATTAAAAAGCTTAAACTTCCTGTTGTTTTTACTTGTGTGAATTTTACTATTTCTGAAAATTCCAGGTCGTAACAATATACAAAAGGCCGGTGTCCAGTATATATTGGACTCTGTCGTCAAGGAGCTGTGGCAGGACCCTAAACGGAGGTAAGTCACGCAGGATTTCATTTTATTGTAGAAAGCGTAAAACTTCGTGACATTTTCTGCATGGTAGCACCCTGTAACTGTATTATTGTTCTAGCACTAATTCTTTTTTTATAGAATAAGGGTGACGGACGAGCCTGATGGTAAGTTGTTGCTGTGGCCCATAGACATCTACATCTATACTCGATTACGAATCAAATTGCAGATGCGTTGTAACCCCTGAGGACTAACTTTACTTGCCAGTAAAAAGGATCACCATACAAAACACAGCAGCATTAAGCTGCTATTTTAGGTTGATGTTCTGTGAGAGCGTGGTCCGCCATCGGTCGAGCCGACCCATTCGTGCCTACCTACAACCCTAAAATTATTATTTATATTTTTTTATAGAATAAGGGTGGCAAACGAAGACTCAGTCCACCTGATGGTAAGTGGATGCTGTGGCCCATAGACATCTATATTTATCCTCGATTAAGGATCAAAATGCAGATGCGTTGCCATCCCTGAGGACTAAGATGGAATGCCTCGTTTCCAGTAAAAAGGGTCTCCGGTTCTCTACACTTATCGTACGAAACACAGCAGCTTTAAGGTGCTATTTTTCGCTGGTATTCTGTGAGAGCGTGGTTCTATCCCGGTCGAGCCGATCCACTCGTGCTATAACCATAATATAGCTGCAGCGTGGCTTTACCACATAATTCATTATATTTTCTACGTAATAGAACCACACCGTACCTGCATTATGGCGGCAGCGCAGCGACCGGAGGAAGGACCACGCTCTCACAAGCGTATAGTAGATTAATGCTGCTGTGTTTTACGTGTTGAGTGTAGAGAACTTATTATTATATTAAAAGAAAAGAAAAAAAAGATAAACTAAAATTAATAAACATTATATGTAACAAAACAGATTATGATATAATATTGTAAGTAAATGCATATTGTTGGCAACTTTATTACTGGCAACACCGGTCCGCCCCTCTTCGTGCGTAAACTAAGAGAAGTGGGAAGGGAAATGGTGTAAAATAGGGTGCATCGCGATTATAAGAGGCTCTGTTCTGATAACAGTTAGTATCAGTGTAATTAAGTGTTGTGAATACAAAAAACTGTAATATGAAGTGATCAGTACATATTATTTACGTTGAAATTCGTTCTTTGTGTTAACATCAGAAGTGGGATCATAACTATAGTTCACAATGGGTAAACGCAGTAAAAGTACTAAAAATTCAAAGCGTAAGCGAACACGTGCCTCAAGATCGACCAGCGCGGGTACTTCTACAAGTAGCGCAAGTAGCAGTGCGCGGACTCCATCACCTCGACCAAAGAGAAAGGTATCCCATAGAAATGCAGTTGCAACTGTAAGTACGAACTATGCTTTTATATTGAACATTATTCCTGAATTCGATCCACATTGGTTGATAACATAACCTCTTGGCTCAGCGTTATTCAATCTTATTTAAATACTTTTCCATGGTCCGACGAAATGATAAGTTATCAAGCTCTGAATAAACTTAAGGGATCGGCTGAAGTCTGGTATGACTCTTTAATGAGCACCGATAGTGATTGGCCCTCCTGGAAGTGGATTGACTGAGAGCGAAAATTGTCCGCTAGTTTTAAAATACGTAGGAATATGTTTGACCTTCTTAAGGAGATATGCCAACTATGTCGACAGCACCGGTAGCATTGGCATTAGACCGGCCTGACATCCAAATTCAAGATTCGGGACAATTGCACATTCGTAGGCCTATACAATGTTTTGTGTGTGGTGGCAACCACAAAAAAAGTCAATGTAACGTTAACAAATACGATTATTGCGGCAGACAGGGTCACTTAGAATCTGTATGCTACCATAAGAAGAATTTGCTTAAACCTGAAATACAAGAAGTGAAATTAATTTAGACTATAGATACACCAAAATAATTATAAATTATAAAGAGGGTATATATACATAATTTTTATGACAATGCGTTTATTGATACTGGAAGTAGTTGTTCATTAATATCGAAGGAATTAATCAAACAAAATTCTTTAGACACTAAATTACTAGACCCACCTATTTTGTTAGAGGGATTTACGCAGCAGTGTTCACAATCCGTAACAAGAAAGATATGATATGATAAATGTTCCTCGTATTGCACGATGGGTTCTGTCTACACAAGAATTTGTATTTGAGGTATTTCATTAGGAGGGCCCACGTATGCAACATGTGGATGCATTAAGCCGAAATCCTGTCGCGTCGGGTGAAAAATCCGAAAGTAAAATTATATTGTCTATAACGGAAGCGGACTGGTTACTTACAGTACAGTTGCAGGATTTAGAAAGACAGCATATTAAAGAAATTTTAGAGACAGCACAGGCCAAAGCAAATATGAATATAGGAAATAATACTGAGTCTCAAAAGGAAAGATTCGATAAGTTTAGGAAAAAGGCAAAAAGCTATAATATATGAAGATTTAGTTTTAGTGAAGATACAAAGTCAGAGTAACCAAGGGCAAAGTAGAAAACTTTTACCCATATTTAAGGGTCCATTTAAAGTGAAAAAGTTCTGGGTCACGATAGATATGAGGTGACGGAGGTAAAAGGAAGTGAAAGGTCTTCTAAACCCTATACTGGCGTCGCAGCCGCCGAAAATATAAAGCCTTGGATAAACATTGCAGAACTGAACTGTGATTTACCTTATACCGAATCATACCTTAAAGATATCGTGTTGGCAAGATATTTAGCCAGTTCAGATAACGAGATTTTTGTGCACACATATAAAATATTATATGTATAATAGTATATGTATATGTGCACAAAAATCCTTTTGTTGAGTGCACGAGTCAATACAATATGGGTTACAAATGAGTGTTAAACATAACAGAGATAACTATAATTTAAATTTTCTTAGTACGTTTAAGCAAGATGAAATGCCTTATTAAACGCTAGTGGAATGAACTTGGTTTGGTGTGGTTGGTTTAAGTGAGACTAAAAGTCCTTTAAATGCAAGTGATTCCAGCAGACTCAACTGGAATGAACTTGGTACATTTAAGTGAGATTAAATTTCCTTTAAATGCAAGTGATTCCTGCAGCCGACGAATCTGGTCTCTTAAGTGTGACAAGCTCCTTTTTTAAAGTTGTTCTCGAGTTTATGTAAAAAAAAAGTGTAACTTGATAGTAAACTATGACTATTACCTTACGTCATGATCATTTTATAACAAAAAAATGGCCATTGATATGCACCGCTTTATAATATTTATTTATCAGAAACATTTTCCAATCAATTTGCGTAATTTCAATATTTTAAATAGGCTCGTGAGGTTCCTGGAACAGGAACCATGCAGGATGGCAGTGTTGGCAACTTTATTACTAGCAACACCGGTTCGCCCCTCTTCGTGCGCAAACTAAGAGAAGTGGGAAGGGAAATGGGTAAATCTTTCCAATATGGACCATCGATTTCAAAGCCCATATTTTTTTTGTAGATAGTACTCACTAAAAGAAAGCGTTTTGCAAAGTTTTAGGTTGCGGAAACTTACGGTTCATGAGATATATTTTTTTAAACTTTTCATACAAATTGGCAAATAACACGCAATTACACCAATTACAAAATGAATTTGACAAATCATTGATGTCAAACGTCAATTAGTGTAGTGTTCCGAATATTTTGAAAGTATCGATACGTACTCGATACCAAGTATCGTATCAAAAGTATCAATACTACTTGGTATCGAGTACATTTCGTTAATTTTGGAGACTAGGGGGGTAAGAAGCCGGGAAGTTGTGCTCCGGCGCTCCGTGGCAGCTCCGGCGCTGCGGGATGAGCAGTGCCTCCGCCCTAGCGTAGGGAAGCACAGGCACCTGGGCTCGCCTTCGCAGCTTCGGCTTTTTGGTCGCCTTCGGCGACCAGCCTCAGCCGCTACGGCGATCTCGGTGCCTGCGCTTCCCTACGGCGGGCGGGCACTGCTCTCCCTTCGCGCCTCCGGGCTCTTATATACACTCTAGGGGTAGGGCAGACAAGACCACGTGGATAGTGGGGTGCTCTGATTCGGTTTTGGGTACTTTTTGAATATTAAATAAGTAAGTCAATAAGTAAGTAAACACTTTATTGTAGTAAGAATTAGATAATACAGAAAGTTGCAAACAATAAAATAAAAGTACAAAAGCTGTACTAATTAAGAAATACAAACAAGTTGCAAACAATAAAATACAAGTACTAAGGTGGAACTTAAATAGACTAAACTTTATTCTACTTTATATACATATATAATTGCACTTATCAGCTCTTCCTATGCATCTAATTGGTTTGTCATAATTTTTCGTCTCCAAAATTTACGAAATGTACTCGATACCAAGTAGTATTGATACTTTTGATACGATACTTGGTATCGAGTAGGTTCAAAATATTCGGAACCCTACACTAACTGACGTTTAACATCAATCATTTGTCAAATTTATTTTGTAATTGCGTGTTATTTACCAATTTGTATGAAAAGTTTAAAAAAATATATCTCATGAACCGTAAGTTTCCGCAACCTAAAACTTTGCAAAACGCTTTCTCTTAGTGAGTACTATCTACAAAAAACATATGGGCTTTGAAATCGATGGTCCATATTGGAAAGATTAGCCGGGAAATGTTATAAAATAGGGTGCATCGCGATTATAAGAGGCTCTTCTCTAGTATATACACAGTAATCTATGGAGGCTCTGTTCTGATAACACGCGTCGAGTTAGTATCAGTGTAATTAAGTGTTGTGAATACAAAAAACTGTAATATGAAGTGCTCTGTACAAATATTAATTGAATAATTAGTTTGTGTCGTCAGTACATATTATTTACGTTGAAATTCTTTCTTTGTGTTAACAATATATATAAATATATATATACATAAATATGTCGGTACCTTCACCATTGCACGTGCAGTGGCGCTCGTGTAGCTACTTGTCTTGATTGTATAAAACGGATGGAGCGGCCCCCGTTAAAGCAGTCTTGGCGCTGGCGTGGCACGGTTTACTTATGTATCCCGCTACTAGCTCATAGACTATTCGGATAATTAATTCGTGTAAACGAATTAATTATTATTATCAGCTATTAAATTAGTCTCGGTACAATTTATAGTTGATTATCTCTGATCTGTGTATTTTGTGATAGTAAATTAATTCTATTTAACTACCTTCCTACATATACATATTCGTACATTTAAATATATTAATACAGATTCATAATATAAATATGTTTATATGCTAATGCTAATAAACATATATAAAAATGCATACATACACGGATTCAATAGCTATAAGCATTGTATACCGGTTAACGTTTGGAATTAACCAAAGTCTTAAAAGTGGTTTAATAATGTCATGTCAAAACTAAACAAAACTAGTGAACGGCTAATTAATCTAGTTGGCTGCGACATATATGCTGCTTTTTGGCGACAGAAATAAACCTATTACCTACTGGAATTAGGCTAGATGGGTGAAAGGGAGCAGCACCAATCGCTGATGCAAAATCTGTATCCAGCTGTGTACTTTGACGGGCTACTAAAGGAGATACCTACTTAGGTTTTGCTCCAAGCTGCATAACGTTGTTGGTCCTTGCTTTTTCATTAACTATTTTTTTTTAATCCAATTCATCCACATCAGTCTCTATCCACGTTACCAACTTTCAGATTTATCTACGTGGAGACAGCCTTCTTCTGGAAGTGGTGGACGCGTCAGTCCGACGACGTACGTCACAAAGTCCACGTACTTGTGCGCCAGGGTCGCCTTCAGATGGTTGGCGGTGCTTGGAGCATGAATGATGAGGCTGCTTCCCACTACCACAGCACAATCGATCAGTTCACTTGGGGACTCGGGTGAGTTAAGAAAAATTCATTATGCTCAGTATTTTATTGAGTGTATTTTCACCAATGGACAAATAGATATTCGGCGGGTTTTCATATCTTTGTTTCTCGATATTTCATGCATTCGAACAACACGATTTGAGTCGCCTTTCGTAATTAAATACAGCAAAGGAGTGTAATAATTAGATAAACAATCTGGAAGTCTTCTAGGCGAGAGTGAATAGGCTTTTGTTACGCAAAGAGCGCTTTTTACCATCTAGGGCTTCACCACCACTTACCACTAGTTGGGGTTCTGACCAAGCACTGGCTTATTGTAGGTAAAAAAATTGCAATAATGTTATGACATGACTTAATGCATGTAACCCCTGAGGGGTAGGCGGAGTTCAAAGTGTGGGTATAGATGGAAAATTGTGAAAGAAGTAAAACACAATGCCTACAGGAACACAAATCCGTTATGCTATTAGACGCCTTTTACAACTTGCTAGCAAGAAACTCAGCTATTACATTATTTTTGTTATAAATCCCGCATAAATATGAAATTATAAGGTGAAGACAGACATAAAGTTATTAATGTATTTTTCAAAGTGATAAACTATTTTTTTATAGGATTGGGTGACAAACGAGCTCACAGTCCACCTAATGGTAAGTGGTTGCTGTGGCCCATAGACATCTACATCTATCCTCGATTATGAATCAAAATGCAGATGCGTTGTCATCCGTGATGACTAACATGGAATGCCTCGTTTCCAGTAAAAAGGGTCTCCGGTTCTCTACACTCACCATACGAAACACAGCGGCATTAAGCTATTATTTTTTTAAAGGAGTACATTTATAAACATAGATAATATAAGGACAATATTACGAGCGGTCGTAGTATAAAATATAAATTACACATAGTATGATAATAGTCTTAACAGGTACGAGATACAACTGTATACACATTTATGCTCTGTCAAATTAGCTTGATAATTTTGACAGCTCATTGTAGGGATTTGGTGGTGTATAATCGTTAATGAATGAATTCGATTATTATTCTCATAGAAATGGCCATCGATAGTTGCATGTATGTGCTGTATGCATTTGGAATTTTAATCAATTCAAATTGAATCAATAATAAATTATTGACACGATTATAACAACTTTAGCCAGTTTAATAGCAAATTAATTCCATCAGATGAAATACTTAGAACAACCGCAGCAGAAATTATGGAAGAATCGTTGGTGTTGTTGTAAGGCTATGTTGTGTGTACCTAAGAAAACTAACGGAGTTTTGTACAAATAATTTATGAAACTCGTGTGTAGCAAATTTAGAAAATTTATAAATGGAGTCCGAGAAAGGCGAAAAAAACTCTTTACGATTTTATTTTATTTTTTCTTACTTTTTATTTTTATTTTTAATTCCCGACTTCAATTTCCGTTAGAAATCATTAAGGCTAGATATCTAATAAATCACTAAATATGGATGATAGCAAAGAGTTTTAATTTATCTGTTTGCAACAAGCATGTGCATGTTAAGCTAAAAAACTTTAATTAACTTAAGATGAAATAAGAGGCCTAAATGGGATCCTTGTGGTACACCCGATGTCACTATAGGGCAAGGATTTGAAGTTGATTCCTTCAAATCGTGGCAAAACGTGCAGTTTAGATATATTGTAAAAAATTGAGGAAATGCGAAGTGTATCAACAAGTATTGAAGTGAAATGAAACAAAATTCCTTATTTTTCGATAGAAGAAACTAAAAATTAAGTTCTTAAACGTCAACATATTTTTAATATACCACCGTTTCAAAATAAGATTTCGTTTTCCGTATAAGAAATGGCAAAAGAAACTCCGCAGGTAACGTCCTGTTAGTCATTTTTGAAGGTTACTCACCTAAAAATGAAAAGGAATAGACCCATATGTTATCAAAGTATGTAAATAATAAAATTATACAAGAACACAAAAAATACGCAAGATTAAAGCTATTTAAATTTGTTGTAAGCCCGAACAGGTCATTCAATCATCATTCAATCAGCGCCACTTGTTTACAAGTATTAGGCATGTGGCAGCCAACGGGCCCTTCCTTGCTCAAAAAATTGAGAAGAGAAAATACCAGTGCCCATCAGTATGAGTAGAGTACTGATACTGCTTATGAATCTTATTTTAATGCCGTTTGGTAAATTTCAGCAAGCTTAATGAAACCTTCGGGGCATGTGGTCGGCCACGTGTGGGCTGGCAGATCGACCCGTTCGGCCACTCGAGGGAGTTCGCGTCCCTTCTCGCTGCCATGGGCTATGACGGGCTGTTCTTGGGTAGGATCGACTACCAAGACAAGAGAGCCAGGCTGAAGGCAAAGAATATGGAGATGGTGTGGAGGGGCGACGACAATCTGGGTGAGTTACATGAAAATTGTCGCATCGTTCCGGCATAAGGAATCCGTCATTCCATTCCATCCTCTTTAAGGTGGACTTTAATAGACTATATAATGATGACGATTATTATTTAGGAATCCGTCATTCCATTCCATCCTCTTTAAGGTGGACTTTAATAGACTATATAATGATGACGATTATTATTTATTTCAATAAATACGAAATAACCCCACCGCACCAACGACGGTGTTCTTTGTTAGGCAGTAATGATGATAATGTTTATTATTTGAGACAATGAGTCAGTCACAGGTCCTGGTTTCGAACCTCGATAAGAGCTTTCTTGCAGATCGGAGCATCAAGGTCGTTGTAGATGGTGCAAGCTCCGATTACAAGCCTATTAATGCTGGTGTTCCACAAGGCTGCGTGCTATCGCCAACGCTGTTTCTTCTGCATATCAATGATATGTTGCAAACCCGTAACATTCATCGCTATGCAGATGACAGCACTGGTGATGCTCTGTACACCGGACGTGCCAATATTTCTCGGCAAAACATCTCCGAGTACTAGGACAAACTTGTGTCTAAAGTCGAGTCTTTGCTGAACATAGTCTCGGATTGGGTGCGACTAAATCTAGTCCAGTTTAACCTTTAGAAGATAAGATTACATTACATAAGTTTGCCCGCTAACCGCTAAAAAGAACCCTTTTGTCGTATCTCCTTAGTTTCAAGGCACTCCCCTTGTTGCCTCAGCCAGTATCGGAATTCTCGGTATCGACATATCGAGTGACGTGCAGTTTCGTGGTCACTTGGAAGAGAAGGCCAAATTGGCCTCTAAAAAGCTTGGCGTGCTCAGCAGAGCGGGACAGTATTTCATGCCGGCACACCACCTGCAACTTTACAAGGCGCAGGTTCGGCCGCACATGGAATACTGTTCCCATCTCTGGGCTGGAGCTCCCCAGTACCAGCTCCTCCCACTTGACCGCATCAAGCTCAGAGCGGTTCGAATCGTCGACGACCGAGTGCTTTCCGATCGGCTCAATTCACTGGCGCTGCGAGGAGATGTTGCATCTCTTTGCATTTTCTTTCGTGTATACCATGGGGAGTGCTCTGAGGAATTTTTCGGATTAATCCCAGCCTCCAAATTTCGTGAACGCACTACGCGACAAACGTCCCGATACCATCCACACAATCTGGATGCTTGGCGGTCCACCACTGTACGTTTCACAAAGAGTTTTCTTCCGCGTACGACCTCTGTGGAATAGTTTACCACCGGCGATTTTTCCGGACTGATACGACCTGGGGAGACCTTCAAGAAAAGAGCTTACTCCTTTCTAAAGGGCCGGCAACGCACCTGCAATTCCCCTGGTGTTGCGGTTGATCATGGGCGGCAGTAGTCACTTTACATCAGGTGAGCTGCAGCTCATTTGCCCCTTCTTCTTTTAAAAAAAAGCTAATAGTTGCACAATAACATAAGCTGCTTATATTCGAGTCTCAGATCAACAAACAAAGATAGACAAAACCTTACGTATATTATCTTCAAAAGAGTCAGAAACCATAATTATTTTAAGAACACTCTCTTACGTATACATATGCATCTCACATCATGTTCACCGTCATCATTATTAGCTGCAGCTATAATATTCGTCCTGAATGGGGAAGGGCCACGCTCTCGCTATATACCAGCGTGAAATAGCAGCTCGATGCTGCTAGTTTCGTATGGTGAAGGTACTCGTAGAAAACCGGAGAAGATTTTTACTGGAAATGAGGCAATCCATCTTCGTTCTCAGGGTGACGACACATCTGTATTTTGACTCGTAATCGAAGATAGATGAATCCACTTTCCATCTGGTGTACTGTATAAAGATTTGTGACCCTTGTTCTATAAAAAAGGACTCCACACACGGTCCTGATTCACATGCATCCATCGAATTCCTGCATGTCATAACACCAGGTCGTTACGTTACCAGTGTCATGTTGTTGGTTCATAACGGTTACCATCATTTGAAGTGTACGTAACATTTGATCTTTTGTAAAAAACTGACATCACACGGATCTCACGCCAACTTGTGGGCCATCATTCCAATACATACCAAGGTAAGCAACCGCTCTACTTGATGGCCATTGATATTGGCCACAACATTCACCACTGTGTTGGCCAACGTGAAGAGCCACCGTAATGTTCAGTCTTTCTTTGTTGGTTTATGTTTCGAGGTTTGTCGTAGCGTGAGGGTGCTCGTTATATCGAGCATGGATTAGGATGGATAATTGCCTGTGCACACGAACGATATTCGTAAGATGTGGCCGTGAATGAAACCAATCAGATATAGAAATCGAAATCTTTACTCCTTTGCAGGAAAACCATCGGATATATTCACCGGAGTACTTTACAACACGTATTCACCGCCTCCAGGTTTCTGCTTTGACGTACTCTGTGACGATGAACCGATCATAGATGATCCAGATTCTCCTATCTTTAACGTGGATCAGAGGGTAAGTTACAGACTCAACATTGTTGTGTCAGTTAGCTTAAGGATCCACAAAACGGTCAATAGTGATTGTCAATTTCTGTATATAAAAATCAATTTCTGTCCGTTAGTTTCGTTCAAATTCAAAAACGGCTCATACATTCAAACACACAAAAAATTTTGATGAAATTTTGTGTGTGTTTGAATGTATCACTAGATGGTTTATATTGACATTTGGTCTCAGTAGCGCTTTTGTCAAGATTCAGAAGTCAACCGTGTGAAGCCGGGGCGGATCGCTTCTAACAAATAAAAGTGAATGACACTCATTAATTCAAACAAATATCGTGCTTACCAGATTATTTAAAGTAAAGTAAAGTTACAGCCTATATACGTCCCACTGCTGGGCACAGGCATCCCCCCCTCATTTCTAAGTTCGGTTTTAGGGCAAGGAAATGTCCGCCGCGTTGCCCCAATGCGTATTGGCGAACTTCACATGTCTTCGTAATATTTTTTTTCTTATTCCTCAGACATGCAGGTCTCCGCACGATGTTTTCCTTCACCGCCGAGCACGTGGTAAATCAGCACTTAAAATTGCAATTAACAATTTCATTGGTGCCGGCGAGGATCGAACCCGGTTTACTCGCGTTTTTTGAACCAGATTGTTTGTTGAACTCATTTGTTACGCAGATTGTTAAGTGTCGTAATCATAACGTACATTTATTTATAATGTAGTACGTAGCACATTATAACTCAATGTCATAATCATTTAAAAGGAGAGACTTAATTATTATATAAATACACACAAATGCATGCCTCAGTGTTGTATTCTTTATATTTTTTTACATTTTAAGCTCTGTTTTTAAATATAATAGAATAAATTTATCCGTTTCTAATCAAATTAATATAAAATAATATAGCTAATTTCAGAAAGAAACATTAATCTGCACACTTTTCTGACAAATTAACTTCCCCCTTTCCCCTTTGAAATCTTTCAAATTCAAATGTTTCATTTCATTCACCCACCATGGTACCAGAAAGTCGTAGATTTTTGTGTCAATATTTATTGTCATTGACAGCAAGTAATAACATTTAATTGAGGCCATTGACGCACTGTCCATTGAATTTCAATTATAGCAAATGACAGTTTATGCATGAAATGCCGTATCATCGATTGAAATTATAGTATTTATAACTAACGCACGCGACTTTTCAACACAGTCTGCTATATCTGCACTACTCTAAAATTGTAACACATTTAGAATTGGAGCTTTAATCACCCGTTATTTGATACCTCTAAACACATAAACGTTGACAATCGCAAATGACCGTTTCCAGTACCTTTTTTGCCAAGTTGACTTTCTACAAACTTTTGACGCTAGTAGAAAGCTATAAAATGAATGTTACTATATGTCAAAGTTATGTCGCGTGGCTGCCTCGTGAGTTTATTATTCAAGACTTCTATGTAAGCTACTAATTCTAGAATACATTGCGCTAGTTACGGTCAATCTCCGTGTCACTTTTGCACGCCTCATAAGCGAAGCGTTGAGGTTGTGCTCTACTCTCACCTAATGAAATATACAGTAATTTTTTGAGCTAAAAATTTCTTTATTTTTTACTACTGCACTTTTAGAATAATAAAAATACACACATATCGAGAAAAATCACTCGTTTTCATGTTTCTATTATCTTTAAAATTAATTTTATGTATTTAGTGTAAAAACAAACTGATTGAAAAAAATTCGGAGGTGACATCCGGATGTCTGCATGTGTGGATGGCGCACGATTGCGGTCGTTAGAATTAATGTTTCAAAATAATTATTTTTTTATTAGGTTTAGAATCTCAACGCATAGGTTCCTTTTAAAAATCAGTAAGTAATATGGTCTCGTTTAATTGTAATTAATGAAAATTGTACTTTTCAACAAAAAAATGGAATGGATCTCTTCTTTCGTCTCAAATATGGAAAAAGAGATATTTTTCTTTTTATAATCAAATGAGATTATGAGGCGTGCACTTTTGGATTTTCCAAACTTTAGTTGACTACGTTCGGGCAATAAGTAGTTCTTTGTTTTTTAAGCCGTGTACGTTGTTGTGGACTACCTAACATTGATTTTGTTAAATGCGCCTAAAAACACTGTTTTTATTTATGTGCGCACTTTATCATCATGATTTGAAGTTTATTTTAGATAAAGTATGTAAATTTATATCGTATTTGCCTAACAGTAACTGTCTTAAATAAAAACACAATTGCGTGGCATAGTTACCGTGGCTGCTACCCGCTCGCGCCCTGACAGCTGTGGCACAGTTTGTTTTTGTTATAATTAACGTTAACGGTTAAACGAAGTCAACTTGGCTAACCCCGCTGTTATTTATGATATTGAATCTGTTTTATGTCTCCGCTTAAACGAACATTTGCGTAAAAAAGATAATTTTTGGTATTCAGGTCTTGGACCTTAGCTTAAGTGAGTGGTAATTATCTTACAAAGCGTTATATTGAATTACAGTGGTTACAATAAATAGCAACAAGTGCTTTTTACAAAAAATCAATTCATCTAAAATATCCTATTGCAATTTGAAAATTTTGCGGATTAATGTATTTAAACTAACGCTGATAGTGTATCTATAACATCAGCAATTTTGGACATGTTCAAAGCTGTCATTTTACTACGTATTTTGTTAAATGTTGTGTATTTACAAAAAAACGTGGTGATTATATATTTTTATTCACGAAAACACCTGTTAATATATACGAGGCCCTGTTATGTACCCCTGTGGAAATCCTAATTTTTTTTACTTTACTGTCCCATTTATTGACTTTGGGTTCGAATCAGACTCTTGGTGTAACCAACGTTCTTTTATACCTTTTTTGAGGTAATAATAATTCTAGGTCATTCGAACTAAAATCTCTCGTGGAGGTAGTGTCAAATTTAATTTTTCTAGTACAAACGTCAGGCTGGTTGATAACTTGTAATGGATCTTTTATTATAACTTGAGATACGTTTACCATGAAGTTGAGAACAAATAAAAACTTAAATTTTATGGCGAAAATAAGGTTCGTATGATTTTATTACAAACAGCAGATGACGTATGACTGCGATGACTTATGACGGAATAGACCATATAAAACTGAAGGCAAATTCTGTAATAAAATGATACCAAAAAAGTCCTGTAATTTGTTGCAATTTTTTTATATAGTATGGGTGACAAACGAGCACACAGTCCATCTGATGGTAAGTGGATACTGTGGCCCATAGACATCTACATTTATCTTTGATTAAGAATTAAAATGCAGATGCGTTATCACCCTTGAGGACTAAGATAGAATCATTGACTTATATATTACTAGCGTAAGGACCGGGCCGACCGAACAACAAAAACGGACCAGTGCGTTGGCCCTAAAATTATAAGTTTAGGGCCAACGCGAATCGGTCGACAGTAGTGCGCGCGCATGACAGATTTGCCTGTCACAAATATGTCTAGTTGCGTGGTAAAAGAATGCAAAAATTACAATACAAAGGGTGCGTTTGGCAGAAAAATGCGCTAGCAAGCGCTTACAAGCGCTAAAATAGTTTTCGGCCAGGACACGATTGCTACTTCAGTAGCGCTGACACAATCCGCCATTTTGCTTATTTAATTTGTTTGTTTTGAAGTAGAGTTTATAAGTTGTTTTGTGCAATATTAGTTTTAAGTAATATAATGACATGAATAAACATATAGATGTTATTAAAAATTCATGATTGGTAAGTTTTTAATATGAATACTTTACAAACATATATTTAAACTAGGTTAGGTTCCCCGGTTAAAACTAACATCGTGTCCTAAAGGAAAATAGCTACTTACGATTTGACAGCACTTACCGCTTACGATCGCCATTTTGCTTACAAGCGCTTGCTAGCGCTTTTTTCTGCCAAACGCACCCAAAGATTAAAAAGAAACATGGGATATCGTATCATCGGTAAATAACCTTATATTAATTTTGTTACAATTAAATTATTATGCCGGCTGTACACGCTCGTCGAGACACCACGAGACAGGCCTAGAGGCGAGCGTTATTGAACATTGTTCTTAAAAACTTCGCGTTTTTCTTTATAAATATTATAACATGTATAGTTTTCTTTGTGAATAAACATTTAAAGTGTATATAAATATTTAGTGTACATAAACAGACATATAATTGGTGTAAATAAATAATAAATATTTTTTTGTATTAAGTTAATTTTTGTGTATTATGTGGATCAAAATAATTATGTGATGTGATGGACAATAATACTTAAATACTTACATATTTTGTGACTGTATAAAATTGTACAAAGGTACTAATATTGACAATGTCGCGCACATGTTATAATACCTATAACCTGTTACGTATTTGTAATCATAACATAACACAGTTAAACTAATATTATAATACCTACCTATAATATGTTAATAATTTCGTAATTATAACGCTATACTGTAACGCTATACTGTAAAAACGCTATACTGTATACATATGTAACTAATTACAAAAATAAGCAGTTTTGAAACTAGTTACTCATATCCACGAAACTACGTACAACCGATTACGTCCAAGACGTTACGACCCATGTCTAGACAGGGCGAGTACGAGTGTGTACAGGGTGCTCTCGTCGCGTCTCGTCGCGTCTCGTGTCCCTCGTGCGCTCTCGGAAGCGTGTCTGTTTTTTGCGCTCGAGTCAAAGGGTCTCGTAGGTATCGCGATGAAAACCGAGAGCGAATGATGATATTACTTAACGTGTATAACATGTATAATCAAGCAGAAAAATGCAAACTGTATTATGACATTTTAATATGTAAAAAGTCAAAGGTCGACATTATAACTACACATCAAAGTCTCTACGAAAACGTACTTATATATAATCGTTAGGGTTTAATTGCTGCTAAAGAATATTCTGTATTTTGTGTACACTTAGTTAAAGAGGTAAAATATTTTGTATTTGTAATTTCTGTTTTGTCTCAAGACGACATACGTGATTTTATTGTTAATAACTTTTTTTTTGATGATAATG